CATATCCCTTATGGGATTTCTTCCTGCAGCCCTGCTAAAGGAGAAATAAATAAATACAACATAATATGACATAGTTTTTTATGAGATAAGCCGGATTACCTGATGGTAAGCAATCGGCGCCGCTCATGGACATCTGAAACACCAGAGGCGTTACAAGTGCGTCACCGGCCTATTGGGAATTGGGAATTTGAGAATTGTGGGGGATTCGGGGATTGGCCCTCCGGTAACCTCACTCACACGACAAAACAGAACGCAAGCGATGTTTCACGTCGGTTTTCTGTGAAGCCGTAGTATTGCTCCGGTCATGGACAGTGTGTAACAACAAACAAAACACAAAAAATGAAAACTTAAACGAACAATTACAACGACTTACAAGATAACCAAAATGTATTATTGTATACGTAGCTATTGTTAAATCCTGGAGCTGCGGACAACAACGGGTTGCCGCCAGGAGTAGGAATGGGGAGGTTTTCAGTAAATAAGAGTCTGACACTCTCTTTCCCCTCACCCGAGGCGGGAGAAGTCATTGGATAATTTTCTCCCTTCGCAAAAAACTGTTGTTAAATAATGCAGTAAAATACCAAATGTTAATGTTTACATAGAATAAAAAAAAAATTATTAAATAATAAAATATATTTTGCTTTCATAATTATGTTGCCGTAGTGGCAGAAGTCGTATATGTCGTGGTCGTCCAGAGGTTAAAGCCGCCCGCTTCTGATGCATGATGGCGCGGTTTCGAAACCTACCAACGGCGAGTACCAATGTGACTTTTTCCGAGTTATATGTACTTTCTAAGATTATTTAGACACTACTGACAAACGGTGAAGGAAAACATCGTGAGGAAACCTGGGCTTATAATTTCTAATTATACGTTGGTAATTGCCAACCCGCATTGAGCAAGCATGGTGATTAATGCTCAAACCTTCTCCGTGTCAGAAGAGGCTTTGCTCAACAGTGGGCATTTATAGGCTGTTGATAATGAATTATGTTGCTGTGCCCTAACCGGGTTTCATGTTAAAATTGTACCGAATTATGTAACACCTATTGTACACAATATGATATAATGCAATAAAAATTTGAATTTGAACTTAGAACTTTAGAAGTATACACCTACCACAGAAATATAATACCTATCTATGAAACGACACATTTCAAATGCAAAAGAAATTTATAGTGCCATGTTGTTTAGCTTCTTCTAGCTGCTTATATTTTTTTATTTATTTTTACCGTAGTTGGATTCAACCTAGCTAAAACTACCTAATAATCAGCTATATACGCCTACAAGACTCGTAGACCCAGTCATATGGCAGCTAGCTCACCTATACAAAACCTGTACATAGTCATTTAGAACATAATTATAAATTCTTGATAACAATCTGTTAAGCATACGTGCTTGACATGTTGATTGTGACGTTTTCACCTTATTATTCTACTCTACTTCTGCTTAAGAGTTTTGCATTAATTTGAGTTTTATTTTATATGAAAATCACTTTAAATTACCTTCATAAAAGA